CGGCTTGGCCGGGCCGGGCTTCCGTCGATTCCGACAGAAAATTGTGGGAGGGCCCGAAGCCCATTTCAATTGTTGGATCCACTGGCTCCATTGGAACACAGGTTTGAGAGATGCAAGTTATAGTGCGTTTTAAGACCAAGAATTGATAAACATTTTTAACCGGAGTTCGTTAAGTCGGTGTGCACATGCTGTGGCTGATCATGGCTGAATATTTGTTTAGCACATGAAGAGAATTCCTAAAGTCAACTTTCTGCAACTGAGATCCATTATATTGTTTTCTTATATTGATTATGTTTTGTATATTTAATGTTTGCTTCTTCAGACATTGGATATAGTTGCTGAAAATCCGGATAAGTTTAAGGTTGTTGCTCTTGCCGCTGGTTCAAACGTGACTCTTCTTGCCGATCAGGTGATCGATTAGTTGATAACTTGAAGAACACAAGACTTTTATTTGTTAAGGATATGTTTTAGTTCTCATAATGTGACCGTCTAATTCAGAAGTAATCTTGTCATGGAACATGTTAGAAAAATAGCAGCTTTACATAACCCAATCAGAATATGAAACCGATTCTTATCTGAAATTTACATACAATGAAAGAAACTTTTTACGTACTATTCGCAAAACACTCGACTTTCAGCACACTAAATTTTGGCTTTTATTCAGCTACTTTTGCTTTTAAAAATGATCGAATTAGCTTCAATTTATGGATTTCAATCTGGTGCCTCGTCATGCAGGTGAAGATGTTTAGACCTAAATTAGTTTCTGTCCGTGATGAGTCACTAATCGATGAGCTCAAGGAGGCTCTAGCTGATGTTGAAGAAAAGCCCGAGATCATACCGGGAGAGGAGGGAATCATTGAGGTTAGCTTTCACACATTGTTCAATAGCTTTTTTTCGGTAGAATTACTTATTCTCTGTTGGTTATATATAATTGTTTATATATTTTTCTAACATCCGTTTTAACAAACCTGTTATTCCAGGTAGCTCGTCATCCAGATGCTGTTACTGTGGTGACGGGGATTGTTGGATGTGCAGGTTTGAAGGTAAATTTCGAGGTTTTTTTGTGTACAATTTATACATTTTTCTCCTGTGGCTCACGTTTTCTAGTTTATTAATTTATAGATTATTCATGGATAATCGATTTGGAATCTAATGTTAAAATTTCGCAAATTTAGCCTACTGTGGCCGCCATAACAGCAGGAAAAGACATAGCTTTGGCCAATAAAGAGACATTAATTGCTGGAGGGCCTTTTGTTCTTCCTCTTGCACACAAGCACAAAGTTAAGATTCTTCCGGCAGATTCCGAACATTCAGCTATATTTCAGGTACGTCGAAATTCTAATAAGGTGCATCCGTATGGTTTAGCAGAAAAGTAATAGATGATTAGTAAATTATTTTGTCATGTGAAAAAAATGTTCTTTTTTCATCGTGTATTTTTGTACACGTTTCAGTGTATACAAGGCTTGCCCGAAGGTGCTTTGAGGCGCATAATTTTGACGGCATCAGGGGGAGCATTCCGGTTAGGCAATTTTTTTAAAGAAGATTTTTTTTTTTTTGAATTTGAATATTTTTATGATTGGTTTATTTGAGTTGCATATATTTTCGTATGGACATAAAAGTTACATGGGTTTATTGATTTTTTCCCAAGTCTAATTACGTGTTGTTAATTCTTTATACAGAATCGAACTGCATCTAGCAACTTTGTTCGTTCTTTCTTTTTTTCCTCTTTTGGGCAACAAAATTGAATCTTTCTTATATTTAAGCACTCTTGTTTATTTTCTTTGCAGTATTTATGATCAAATTTTGTTAAATAAAAGTGTGTATGATTGGAATAGGGATTTGCCGGTTGATAAGTTGAAAGATGTGAAAGTAGCAGATGCTTTAAAGCATCCCAATTGGAATATGGGGAAAAAGATTACGGTCGACTCTGCCACACTCTTTAACAAGGTAACTCGAAATTAATTGCATATTAAATGATC